CACCTGACCTGACTCAGAATTGATGTGGTGTGCCTTTGTAGGTACTTGTGTCTGCAATTCATTAAAAATAATAAAAAGAACCTTAAATAAGTTCTCTTTAAGTGAAATTCTTCAGAGCTTGAGAACCTTAGTTTAAAACCTAACCTGCCCTTTTTCTAAATCTCATCTTAAAATTTCTTCTGCCATTTTTACTGAATGAAATAACATCTTGTCCTTTCGTTTAGGCTACTTTCCCTTCTCTTCCCCTAAATAGTGCCTGGCTGCCTCAGACTGGGAGACTGAAAATTAGAAGCTTGGAACAGCATTCATTTAAATGATTTTTAACACATGGAAAGCCCATTTCTGTAATCAGCCTGAAAAATACTCTCAGTATAAACTAATGAGTGAAAACAGAGGATTAGAAATGGAAGCTAATGAGTGAAAAAGCAAACATAAAATTTTTAGTTTGCTTTGCATATACTTTCTTCTTGTCATTTATTTTGGCCATTTGCTATCTTTTAGGTTAGAGTTGATAAGCAGCAGCCAAACATTATAATTCTTCTTCCTTGTTTTTTTGGCTAATGACATTTTTTCTATGTTGAGATAGTTCTGTGGCCTAGAAAACCCCAGTGAGCACCTGTGGTTAGAACTGGGATAGAAACCCAGGAAACTCCAGCTCGCTTCTTGGCTCTGCCCCTGACTTAAAGAGGAGCCACCCTCTTGAGTCTTGGTTTCTTGGTCCCAGCTTTCCAAAGATGACATGGGCAATGGTCAATATTTGTGATGGTCTCGAATGTGTGAGGAGTTTATAACCTCCAAGGCTATTAGGAGAGAACAGTAACTGCTTACTTTTGACCTCTTGGGAAATGGGCTGGTTCTTTCCAAGATTTGCTTTGGTGAGGCTTGGTGCAGGTTGGGTCAAGAGGGTCGAGAGTAATGAGCAGAAGTTATTGGGTTCCCTCCATTGCTCTGGTGCTTATTAAGAAATATGCCAGCAGTGAGGGGATCTTAGAAAGGCAAAAAGTAGTGAAAGGGTCAGAGCACAGGGCTGTCTCCTGAGTGCCTTCATGTGTCACCTTCCCTCCTTGGCAGGCATTGAGCGACCGCTTCAGTGGTGAGATCCCTGATGACCAGATGGCGCACAGCTCCTTTTTTCCAGATGAGTACTTCACCTGCTCCTCCTTGTGCCTCAGCTGTGGGTAAGTGAGGCCCGCCATCTCCCGCCCACCACATTGAGACATTTTTTCTACGTTGAGATAGTTCCATGGCCTAGTAAACTCCAAGTGAGCACCTGGGATGGAACTGGAATAGAAGCCTGGGAAACTCCCAGCTTGCTTCTTGGCTCTGCCCCTGACTTAAAGAGGAGCTTAGAGTAGAGGCTTAGAGTGGTGCTTCTCAGACTAAAGTGTGCATACAAGTCTGGCTAAGTTACGGGTTATGATTTAAAAGATCTGGGGTGAGGCCTGAGATGGTGCATTTTCAACAAGTTCCCTCAAGATCCTGGTGGTCCGGGGACCACACTTAAAGGTAGTAGAGGTAGCAAAGGCTTCAAGGACACACAATTATGAATAATCCCCTGAAAATTCCAACCTGGTGTAGATGTAAAATTGACTGGCTTCTGGTTTGGGCAGTTTTTATGGCAGAAAACTTTGGGTTGCCTGCTTTTATATGGTTCTTCCACCAGGGCTTTCAATAGTACTCAATTTATTCAACTAATATACAGCTAAAATTTGAGTGCCCCATGTGTGCAGAGTGCTGTGGTATTGATCCGAGGTGATTTCTTTCACTGTGACGGTAAATGCTTAAAGCGTATTAGAATTTTCTGGGGAGCTTTCAAAATTACTGAGGCTGGGGCTCCATCTTTAGGGAATCTCATTTTACTGATCAGGGTGGGGCCTCAGCATCAGTGTATTTAAAAGGCTCCTCTCAGTGTATCTAAAAGGCTCCTCAGATGATTCTAATGTGTAGCCTGAGTTGAGAATGTTGAGTTAGAGCAGTCCTTTTCACACTTTAATCTGCATATGCATCACCTTGAGATTCTGTGAAAATGCAGACTCTGGCTCAGCAGGTCTGGGAGGGGCCTGAGATTCTGCATTTTTAATAAATTCCTAGGTTATGCTGATGTTCATTGGGACCACACCTTATGGGTCACTAGATGAGTTTGAGCTGCTGATGGCTATCAAATCAGTCTGGTGACTTGTCTCGTGGGGCCCAGGGGATTGAAATGCAGCGTGGCAAGGTCAGAATGCAGTCTTCATGGCCTGTAGACACTCCTTACCCACCCTGCCCCCAACCTCCCGCAGGCCCCTACACCACCGAGTTCTTTATTCCTCTCAGGACCACTGCCTGTGTCCTCTACACTTGTCCATCTACGGAGGAGACCTGAGCCTACTTCTGTTATGAATGGCTTTTTTGCGTTGACCCCTATTGTTTACCTGCTGGGCTCTGAACCACCTGTGACCTTGGTGAAGAGGACTTGGCTCTTGAATTATGCAGCCTGGGCTAGGGAGAACTAAGGATTATCTTGGAGAGTTTAGCTTGGAAAGGGAAGAGGGATATTCATTGCCATTGTGACTTGCTCACCCCATGAGCCCAGCATGAGGACCTTAAGCACTGTTGGATCATTGCCTTTCCATTCTAAAAGCAATGAGCCTCATCAGGATTTCCAGAACTTTCCCTTTTATCATGGTAAAATTCTGAAGTCCCGATCTGTTTTTGCATTGTCAGGATGGCAGAGATCACTGTTCATCTGGACGGTTTTCTTGTTCAGTTTAAGCCTCACCTTAATGCATTGCCAAGTTTTGGGGGTTGGTTTTTGTTTTGCATCTTGGCAGCCTGTTCTGGTTAAACTTTTCATTTCATCCTGTTTGGATTTTTGAGTTTCCTCTCAGGAATGAGCCATTCACTTTTTATCTGTGCTCAAGTTGGTGTCTTCTGGCTCTTCCATTTCTGCTGAGGAGCCAGGTAGTTTTTCCAAGAAGAGACTCCTTTTCCCCTTTCCCCTCATATAGAAGTAATAGTTGTTCTGTCTCTGTAGTGCTGTTGATTGCGGGTGGAACAGAGGCATGTAGGTTTCTGAGATGAACTGCCCTCTCTGTGCTCAGCATCCAAAGCCCAGTTAGTAACCAAGGTCTAGTTTTGGCCCTGTGCCTGGCTTAGGGTTCGACTCTTCTGTGTAAGTGGCATTGGCTCCTTTAGCTGTTTCATTGTCAGTTTTTGGGCTTCCCTCAGGGTTGGATGTAAGAACAGCATGAATCATGGGAAGGAAGGAGTGCCTCATGAAGCCAAGAGCCGCTGCAGATACTCCCACCAGTATGACAACCGAGTGTACACCTGCAAGGTGAGTCCTCTGAGCATCTCCCTGCTCCAGCAGCTGGCTTGCTGGCTACCCTCTCCTTTTGGAAAGACTGCCTTGGGGCTGCCCTTTGGTGCATCCCGAACTGTTTGATATTCAAATTAAATAAGTCTGGAACTTCTCCCCAGCTCTAACCAAAAGAACTCAACAGTTTTCACTGCTGGGGCCCCCTGTGTTTAATTTTTAAGCTTATTTCCCCCCTCATTCTGTTGAGCTTGTTTGTAAGGGTCATATACAGTGACTATTCATTTCTCCTAAGAGCAGAAGTGCTTTTCAGGAAACTAGCTTTGATGGATTTCTCCTGTCTGTGAAGAGCTCAGTTTTGGGGGCTGGGATGGGTACACACTCAATTCATTATCATTCAGTGAACTGGCTTTTTTAGAGAAATGTTAGCATCTTTCTCTGAGATGCTAAACTCAGGGTCTGTAATCTTTAGCTGGTATGGTTTGTGGGGAGTCGAGCTGGATGGGGGATGTGAAGAGGTCACGGGTCTGGTGTACCTAGAATAAGCTGGCAGAGTGCTCCATGTTTCAGGCCTGCTATGAGAGGGGCAAGGAAGTCAGCGTAGTGCCCAAAACGTCTGCTTCCACCGACTCTCCCTGGATGGGTCTCGCAAAGTATGCCTGGTCTGGGTGAGTTTCATTCACATAGCTAAAGGGGTTTTGGTGTGTTTGTCACCCCTGGCACCTGACTGGGTAACAAGTGTTCATTTGCCTCCCTCGTAGGTATGTGATCGAATGTCCTAACTGTGGCGTGATCTATCGTAGCCGGCAGTACTGGTTTGGGAACCAAGATCCTGTGGATACAGTGGTGCGGACAGAGATTGTGCACGTGTGGCCTGGAGTAAGAACTTTTTTCTTGGTTTTTCTTCTTTCTCTATTGTTCAGTTATCATGTGTGTGGAAAAGTGGAACTTGTTTATAATTAAGGTTAACCATGAATTTTGATATATTGGTGGTTTAGAAAGGCATGATCTGGAGAGCCTTTCTTGTTCTAGGCCTTTACTGTTTTAATTTTTAATTGCGTAAATTAAAACACAACTTTAAATAAAATAAAAATTAATCTAGAGTTCTCCTTTGGCAAATAAAACTTCATTTTTTTTTTTTTTGTCTTTTGTCTTTTTCCGTTTCCAGCAACGGATCGCAACCCTCAGTGTTGCCCCCGTACCGGACCGGGGACCGGCAACGGGATTGCAACCCTCAGTGTTGCTCCCGCGCCTCGCTCAGCCAGTGAGCGGGAACCGGTCTGTATGTGGGATCCGAACCCTCGGGCGGGAGCGCCGCCGCGCTTCCCAAGCGGCGCACTATCCAGTGCGCCACCGGGCCGGCCCAAAACTTCATTTTTTCATGTTCTCCTCATTCGTTTTCCATATACATGTTTTTATAGATGCGATTATAATTTACACGTCATTTTTCTGCTTTTTTCTCATAACACAATTTTATTTAGTATTTTTTTCCACATCGCTTCTACTTTTCACGATTTGCATTTATAATCATGGTATAATATTCTGCCCACTGTTACAGTTTGAGTCACCATTCCCTTCTTTTTGGACATTTATACTGTTTATGATTTTCCATTGTCAAAGAAAATGCTATAGTGACCATCTTCATATAAGAAAGCCATTCCTGTGTTTTGGGAAATTTTCTTGAATAATATTCTAAGAAGTGGGATTACTGCAGACCCTTAATTACTGTTTTTTAATTTGACTTGAATTCAAGATGTTGGAAGAACAAATTTGTTTATGAGGCAGTGATATGGTACTTTTATTCTGCGTTAAACCACTATTCACACTTGGAATTATCTGTAAATCACAACAAATCCAAAACCTTTTCCCCTCATGGAAAAAAAAGACAAGTGATTTTCTCTAAGGAACTTATTTTACTCCGTGTTGTTACCCTTGCTGGGTAATTCCTAAAGTCACCATTCAGCCTAACAGTTCTACCTGCAGATCCACCTTTTAGCTTTCTTATATCCTATAGGTATCATGAAACCTGAAGATTTTCTTACTTTTCTCTTTTTTCCAATTTCCAGGCCTACTGTAATTTGTTATTATAGTGAGGTCCCATTTCTGGAGCCCATCCCCTTGGTATAATGGCCTAGGCCATCCTGTCTCAAGGATTTAATGTGACCTTAAAATGAGAAAGTGTAAATGGTAAGATAGCTTATATTCCAGAAAAACAGTAGTTTAATCTTAGGCTACATTCCTCATAGTCCTTGGGATTTAGGAGATTGTAGGTGCTTCCCTTTCTGTTTTTTTTGTTTGTTCATTCATTCATTTATTCATTCATTATTTCAGTATTTGTTGTCAAGTACTGTGTGCCCAGAATTGAGCTAGACTCTGTACAAAAATAAAAAAATGAAAAAGATAGGATATTGTTTTCAGAGAGTTCAGTCTAATAGGGAGTCAGAGACGTAAATAGATACTGCACTTGCACACAGAAATAGGGTCCCTAGAGATGTATAGGTATTAGAGGAGATGACAGGAAGGACTCCTAACCGAGCCTGGGATGGGGGGCTTCCTGGAGGAGGGGTCATCTCCTGTATCGTATGGGCAAAGTCAGTCCTGAATTGAACACTGCACATTGAGTCTCTGATCACCTTGAAGAGACTAGATGAGTATTGCCTAGAAGCCAGAGAGATTCCTGGCTGTCCCCATTCTCCCCTCCTGGGGAGTTTATGAATCTGAGTTGGCTGTGGTGAGTGTGCAGGTCCCCTGGGGAGTTTATGAATCTGAGTTGGCTGTGGTGAGTGTGCAGGTCCCCAAAGACCCCTCTCCCTGCTTCCTTTTGCTCCCTTCACTCCGAGCATGACGGGAGCCTGCGTTTTCGTTTCAGACTGATGGATTCCTGAAGGACAACAGCAATGCCGCCCAGCGCTTGTTGGACGGGATGAACTTCATGGCTCAGTCGGTGTCCGAGCTTAGTCTGGGGCCCACCAAGGCTGTGACTTCCTGGCTGACAGACCAGATCGCCCCTGCCTACTGGAGGCCCAACTCCCAGATCCTGGTATGGGGTGGCAGGATGCCCTCCATCCCTGGCACAGCTGCCCTGCTTTTGCTGCTCTGCCCTGTGCTAGCCTTGTTCTGTGAGGGAGGCTGTACTAGTCCGTTTCTGTTGCTTAGAACAAAATACACAGAACTGGGTATTTTATAAAGAACACGAAAGTTATTGCTTACAGTTTCAGAGGCTAGGAAGTCCAGAGTCCAGGGAACACAGCTGATGAGGGCTGTCTTCAGCGATGGCAGGGTACCACACGGCGAAGATGGCACAGCAGAGACAGCAACCTCCTCATTCACTCCCCTTTTAAAGCTCTCAGAACCACACCCCTGACCACTATTTTTAATCCATTCACTACTGCACGGTTTTACAACCTAATCACCTTTTCAAGGCCCCACCTTTCAATTACCATAATAGGATTTCCCACCCTCAACAGTTATGGTGGGAATTAAGCTTTGGGGGTCATTCAACCCAAGGCAGAGGTGCACAGTTTTTCTCCCAGTGACATGGGCTCCAAGAGTATTGGAGAGGGCAGGATGCGTTGAGGCAACCAGTGTCCTCTTTGCCCACTTATTTCCCTTTGTGTTATTCTGCAAGTATTTTCTTTGTGGTGGGTTTTAGTTTTCTCACCTGCGAGAGCCAATTATTATTGCTCAAGATGTCTGAGGTCATAGATACAGAATCTGGGAAAAAAGGGGCCTTTGGAGGTCATTTAGGGTCATCCTCAGCTTGATACATAAATCTCTACAGCACCCAAAGCAAAGAGCACCGAGCCTCAGCCCAAACGCTTTGTGACAGGAAGCTCACTACTCACCTGGCTTCCTTTCCACTCTCAGATAACTCTCATTACTAGAAAGTTTTTGTTCTTGTTGAGCTGAAACCAACTTCCCTTAGTTTCTGGTTGCTCCCTCATGTCTTGTTGACTTTCTCAGCTGAGCAGACACCTGCCTCTCTGTTTTGTTTTGGGCTTGGAACAGAGCTGCAACAAGTGTGCGACATCCTTCAAAGATAATGACACTAAGCATCACTGCCGGGCCTGTGGGGAGGGCTTCTGCGACAGCTGTTCATCCAAGACCCGGCCAGTGCCCGAGCGGGGCTGGGGCCCTGCACCTGTGCGGGTGTGTGACAACTGCTACGATGCCAGGAATGTCCAGTTAGGTAACGTGGGGCCCGGGAGCTGCAAGGGTGGAGGGGAGAATCTCCCTCCTTGGCACTGAGTTTTGGGAACTGGACTCCCGCGTGCCCCAGCTCTGATCCTAAACATATCACTCTTCTGAGAACTCCTGATCCTCTGGTCTTGGCCAGTCATCCTCCAAGCTCTTTGTTAACAGAGCCTGTGGGTGCTATTCCTCAGGGAGGTTGAATTGCACTCTGAGCTTCAGAGGTGCTTCTGAGGGAAGGAAATACACGTAGCAGTTGATTTCTGAAAAGGTTTCAGTGTTTGCCAGAGATGGCTTAGACTGTGTCTTCTCTCTGGAGAAGGTTCTAGGTCATGCTCCCAGAACCTTCTGGCTTACTTTAAAAAAAGGTTATAAGATAGCTCGAGGGTTGCAGGTAAAGGACTAGTAAGATGCCACCTGGTTTCAGGGTCTGGGCTGAGGGTCGGGACAGCCCAGACCCTCGCAATCATTGCAGGACAACACAGTGGGACCCTGGGAGAAAAATCCAAAGTGCTCGGCTGTTGCCCCCTGAGTTTTCCATTTGGGAAGTGACTAAGAGGCAACAGCTTTTCCTTTATCATTGTCTGCAGATGTTATTGAAGCTCAGGCGGACGATGAAGGTGGAACACTGATTGCTCGGAAGGTGGGCGAGGCTGTGCAGAACACCTTGGGAGCTGTGGTGACAGCTATTGACATACCACTAGGTGGGCCTGGCAGTGCTTCTCTTGGGTGTGGTGTATGTGGGATGAGGGGTTTTGGGATGCCCTGGGATGTCATTTTTGTCAAAGGCTTGCCAACCTAGATTGAGTTGGGCAGCAAGAAATCAATTAAAAATTTACATGTGCTTCTGCTGAATACCTTAGTGGTTTCATGTTTATTCTTGGAGGCCATCCTCTTATACCATAACAAACTACTCTATAACAAACTACCTTAGAATATAAAGGCTTAAAACAACAACCATGTTATGATGTCGTACAACTTTGTAGGTCTTGAAGTCAGGAAGGATAATTATTCTCCAAGTAGTGGTGCCTGGTTTTCCAGGATGGCAGCTGGACTGGTCTCAAGGGTCCAAGCTGACCTCACTAACATGCTGGGTGCCTTGACAGGGACAGCTGGAAAAGCAGGCCCCCTCTCCCTCTACTTGTGTCCTCCAGGTCTCTCCACATAGTTTCTCCAGTGGTAGTTGTTCTGAAGTGGTGGCTCAGGGTTCCGAGAGCTAATGTTCTAGAGACAGGAAGTAGAAGCTGCCAGTCTCTTAAGGCCTGGGCCTGCAAACAGGCTCTTCTACTATTCTGCAAATAGTCTCTTGTAGGCTATTGTAGTCACAGAACCTGCCTAGATTCAAGGGAAGGGACTGGAGTGTCATAAAATCTGTGGCTGTCTTTCATCCATTACACCAGCCAACCTGTTACTAATTTAATTTAAGGTTTAAGATAGGTACTCAGCTCCAGATGTGAGGGGTACCTGTAGCCAGGATGGGATAAGGGAGAGGAAGGAAAACCGAGCAATGTGTGGAGGGTTTAGGCAGGCTTGGCCGGGCCTGGGGCAGTTTGGCACATTGTAGGGAAGAGACCAAAGACTCCTGGATGGGTGGTGATTAAAGTGGCTCATGAAATGAGTAGATGAATGAGCCTTTGACTCAAGGGTGTAGGACTAAATAGATTTGCCCAGGCTTGAAGCTCAGGTTGTAGCTGCCTTCAAGTGTACCTGGGAGAGGCATGGCTGCCCTTGGCACTGATGGCTTGCCAACTGTGCTCACCAACTGCTCACTAACCACACCCCCACCGATTGTTGGGCCCCAGTCCAGTGTGTTAGACACATTATTTCTTGTCATCCCCATAACAGCTCTTGAAGGTGGGTTGTTAAAGATGAGTAAGCCCCTGAGAGGTTAAGTAACCTCTCTTAATCCTGAGCTCCTAATTAATTTGTGCTCAGTGCAAATGGAATTTGAATGAAAGTACGTCTGACTCCAGAGTCTGGACTTCTTGATAGTTCCTCCAGTGGTTCTTAGTGCAACTGCACTCTAAGATCACGTGGTGAGCTTAATAGATACATAAATATCAATGCCTAGGCCCAGCCCCAAAGATTGTGATCTGATGGTAAGGGGTGGAGGCTGGGCATGTTCTAAAAGCTCTGTGGTAATTTTGGGTGCAATTGGGATTGCAAGCCAGTAAGTGACTTAGGATGTCTTCTTGCCAGTTGGGACTCAGGGTATTGGGTTTTTTGTGTCCTGACCATTGTTGTTCCTTCCCTGCCACAGGTCTGGTCAAGGATGCAGCCAGGCCGGCCTACTGGGTGCCTGACCACGAGATCCTGCACTGCCACAACTGCCGGAAGGAGTTCAGCGTCAAGCTCTCCAAGCACCACTGCAGGGCCTGTGGACAGGGCTTCTGTGATGAGTGCTCCCACGACCGGCGGGCTGTCCCCTCTCGTGGCTGGGACCATCCTGTCCGAGTCTGCTTCAACTGCAATAAAAAGCCCGGTGACCTTTAACCCCAGCTCCCTCTCCAAGTCCCTCACAATTCCTTAGGTTCTCAGGGTTAGAAGCCGAAGTCTTGTTGAGGTAGGCCCTCCTCCCGGTCACCTGTTGCGGTGTTTGTCCTCTCCTCTCCTCATCCTGGGGCCACTTTCCCTCAGTGGGGGCCGCGCCTAGTGGCAGGCCTGAAGGCAAGAACCCCTTAGGGCAGGGGACCGAGCAGCTCATGGTAAAGGGGAATGAACCTGAATCCGTTGCATTTATTTCATTTAAAAATAATAAATATATATATGTGTGTGTGTGTGTGTGTATATATATATGTATATATGTGTGTATATATATATACATNTTAAAAATAATAAATATATATATGTGTGTGTGTGTGTGTGTATATATATATGTATATATGTATATATATACATATATATATATATATATCTCCATATAGACATATGAAAGGAACTTGGAGTGTATTGAGGCTGTGGCTGGCTGCAGAGACTTACCACAGTCTGTCCCCAGCGCAGGGAGGAGGTGGCAGTGGCCATAGGTCTTCCCTACAAAGTCGAGCCCAGCCCAAAGCCACTGTGTCGCGGGTCACCTGCTGCTGCTTCTCGCCCCGTCTCGGAAGCCTCTCCTTCCCTGGCTTTCCCCGCCGCGCCTCCGAGTTGTCTGGGGAAGCTGCCTCCAGGTGCTGCTTGCTTGAAACAGTCGAGCCCAGCCCAAAGCCACTGTGTCGCGGGTCACCTGCTGCTGCTTCTCGCCCCGTCTTGGAAGCCTCTCCTTCCCTGGCTTTCCCCGCCGCGCCTCCGAGTTGCCTGGGGAAGCTGCCTCCAGGTGCTGTTTGCTTGAAATAGCCAAAGGCCAATTCTTCCTGCGCCCTCTGGGAGTCCAATCCCAATTCTTGGCTTAAGCGTGTTTTAGTCAGAGACCACCCAACTTAGCGTGCAGGTCACCAGAGTGGGTGGAGGGTCAGAGGTCGGTGTTCAGCCCTGAGAAGTCAAAATGCAGGCACTGGGGGACTGTCCCTCGTACTAGGGAGAGCACAGAAGGAAATGGGCCTTCCCTGGCAGCGTTTCCTGCACGCTGACACTTCTGTCTGTCTCTACTGGGCTTTCCTAAAAGGCCGCACTCGGCTCCTAAGTCCGAGCACCTGCCATGTTCCCCACCTCAACCCCCCACACCCCTACCCCTGCCTGCTCAAGCCCATGATTTGCTTCTGAGTGTCGCACTAGGATTTTTATTGCTTATTTTAAAGTGTCTTAATTCTTTGTTCCCAGACATGCCACCTCTCTAGCTATTGGAGGGCAGGTATTGTGAGAAACCTTCCAGGGAAACAGCACAGAATGGACTGCTAGTTTTTTTTTTTAAGGAATATATATAAATATTTCAACAAATCATAAAGAAATTCTATCTCTTCGATCATTACAAAAGAAGTCAAATGAACTTTTTTTATCAAGAGCTGGGACATCTACATATCTATCTGGACTGGAAAGAGACTGTTGTGCTAAAATCCTGTCATCATGGTGGATTTTATCTTCAATGGCCAAAAATGAAGAATTGAAGCAACATAGTTCTTGACTGAACCGGTGGGTGGGTTGAGCTTCAGGGAGGTACATGGGCGGTCATTCCTGGCATGAGTATCAGTGTGACATGAGCCCTGGAGGATGCCGGTCCTTCTCAGACCTGTCCCTTACTGCCTCCTGTGGCCCAGTGACGGGCCCTACCCTAGAACTGTGTATTATCAAATTTGCCATTATAAAGCAATCTTCCTGTGGAATGTGGACTGTGCTGGCTCTTTCCTCTAACTCCATCAGGAAGTCTTGCTCACCGCCCCCCTTTCCAGCTGATGGGAGAGTAGCTGGTGGCTTTCAGAGCAGAGGCCAAGTGAGGCATATTTCTAGGGTAGAAATATTTTACCTGTAAATACCTATTTATCAGTCTGACAAATACAATTTTTTTTTTTTTTAGAAAAAGCATAGCCAGATACCATAAAACCATTGTCATGTGGAGTTGGGTTTTAATCTCAGAATGTTTTCTCTCAGCTTTTAGGTAGCATGCCCCAGACCAGCTCATGTGATTGTCATGAGTATTTCTTCAGTTCCTATTCCTTTAGGTGATAGCTGATGGGCACAGAACTCTTTCTAGTGACTAGAGGGCTCCACACGCTCTCACTCACCATCATGCTGTTGTCTAGTTCTTCTGGCTGTTCCTCAGACTTTTCACAGTGGAGATGGGGACTAGGTGGGGGTGGGGAGGGCCGCAGCACAGGCTGAGCTAAGCTGGCTTGGCCCCTGTGGGCAGCTGAGTTGGTGCTGCGCAGCTCCATGATAGCAGGTGACAGTTTGGGTTCTCCAGGTTTCACTTGGGGAGCTATCAAATCAATGTCCACAGGGGAATCCTCTGTCTCACAGTAGAAGAGACTGGGCATTACTCCTGGTTTGCAATTTCTAGGATTATTTTAATTTTTATTGAATCAAAATTGATTATAAATATTTTTGAGGTTCAACATTGAGATAAGTTGATCAAATCAATATTACTAGCATATATATTGTTACAAATTGTAATTATCTTTATGCCCCTTGTCTAATCTCTCCCCATTCCCCTCTCCCTCCCTCCGCCCCTCTAATTACTCTAGATTTCTTCTCTCTTGAAAGAATAATGGTTACCCTGTTGATTTGTTCCCTAGATGATCTGTCCAATACTGAGAAGTGTGTTCAGGTTCCCCAATAATATCGTAGAGCAGATGCTTCTTCTATCACTCTGCAATGGGCTTTGTGGAGAGAGACATCCTCTTCTTTTTTCTTTGGTCTCTTCTGGTGACTCTCCTTGTGTCAATGCACTCCAGTGGCTGGTGGACCGTCTGCATGGTGGTTGTGGCATCTAGCTGCTTTCACGGCAGCCTTGGTTATAGTGGTGGCCCCTGGTGGGCCACCCACGTGGAGGTGATATTTTTGGCATGCTCCTTCGTGCTGGCAGTGTGCCTGGTTGTGTGTAGTGTCTGGTCCCGGCTCCATACGTTGGGACCCCAGGTGGGCCCTGAGGTACTGGTGTGGTGTGCTTGGTTGTGGGAGGGGGGTCCGGTCTCTGACTCCATGCCTTGGGTCCCTGGGCTGGCCTTGAGGTGCTGGTGCAGTGTGCCTGGTTGTGGGAGAGGGGCTGGTCCTTGTCCATGCCTTGGGTCCCCAGGTGGGCACTGAGGTGCTGGTGTGGTGTGTCTGGTTGTGGGGGGAGGGTCCAGTCCTCAGGTGGGCCCTGAGGTGCTAGTGTGGTGTGCCTGGTTGTGGGGGGGTGTCTGGTCCCTGAGTGGACCCTGAGGCACTGGTGCAGTATGCCTGGTTGTGGGGTGGGGGGTCTGGTCCCTGGATCCATGCCTCATGTCACCTGGTGGGCCCCAAGGTGCTGCTGGTGTGCCTGGGCTGGAACTAATTTTTTGTCCTTTGGTTATTTCCAAAACAGGGGAACTTCCTCTGGGAACCAGTACTTGGAGCTGTGTAGTTGAGCTAAATTGCTGCTTTGCTGCTATTTCCCTAGGGAAGGCTTTTTGTGCAGCTCAAGGTTTAATGGTTGACCTTATAGGTACTTCTGGCTCTCCAGAGACCAGGTGCCCTGGGTTGTGTAGAAACTTTGATCTGGGCCAGAGTTTTTTCATCAAACTGCACCCCATGCAATTCTGCATTCCCAACCAGTCTCCTCTGAGTGGTCCTGTACTGATTGGGGGGAGGATCAGCTGTCCTTGCTGTGCCCCAGTGCTCTCCCAGTGGGCCTGTCTCCTCCACTGCCTGTGCTCCAAACACTTCCCATGGGACAGCCCTGTGATAGTCCCTTGTGATGACTCACCAGCCTCTGAATGGCTCCCCTTTTTCAGTTGTTCTGGCTCCTCGCTCCTGTGTGGGCCCAAGGGAACCCTTTTAGTGGTCTTGCTGTCCTGGGGGCCACTAAGGCCCTATTCTCCCCCGCTGCCCGCAAGTAACTCCATCTGAAGGGCACAGCTGCGGCTTCTGCCGGCTCCTGCTCCATGCGCTCATCAGCTCGAGCCTTAAAGCGGCTGCAGCCTGAAATGCTCAGAGCAGTTTTTTCTTTCTCTCATTGTAGCTTCTCCCACCTTCATGCACTCTGTAGGTCTCTCCTCCTCTTCCCCTGAGCTCCAGCAGCCCCAGCTTGGCTGATGTTACATTTTTAAAGTTGTAAATTGGTTGATTTGTGGGAGAGAGTGACTCTAGGAACTGTCTATTCTGCCATCTTGACCGGAACTCCAATTTCTAGGTTTAAAATAGACCCTTCTCGTGATGCATGGAAGCGTTGAAAAGAGCTGTTTTCTACCCGTGAATGTGCCACTTCCTGCTTCATCTGTCCTCCCCTTCCTTGTCCCTGCAAATCCTGTGTCCCACCGTCTCCCCATTCCCTGTGGCCACTGACACTCTGGTCTTTGTCCCCTCCCTTCTTGCTTGCCCCATCTTCTCTCATCTTTCTCTTTCCTGCTCCCATCTCTTTTACCCTTCTCTTTTTATTTTTTGGGTGGGTGGGGCAGAGTGGAGGGTCTGGGAAGGGCAAGTGAAAGGTGGTGGCCATATTAGACCTGGTTGGTTGTTCTGTCGTCTGGTTGGGGCACCTCTGAGTGTGAGCCCACCTAGCCACGTGGTAGTGACATTTCTAGCCCGTCTCTGTCCTAGTTTAAGGCTCTCTTCATAGGAATCATGCAGAAAAATCTTTTTTTTTTTTTTTTTAAAAGATGACTGGTAAGGGGATCTTAACCCTTGACTTGGTGTTGCCAGCACCACGCTCTCCCAAGTGAGCCACGGGCCGGCCCTATATCGGGATCCGAACCCTTGGCCATGTTGTTATCAGCACCGCACTCTCCCGAGTGAGCCATGGGCCGGCCCAGAAAAATCTTCTGAACTCCCTTCTTTCCAGTCCAGTGGAGGAAAGAGAGGGTACCAGTGTCAAATTCATAGGAGGTTCCCTCATTCTGTCTGAATCTAATCCCAGCCTGAACTAAATATATGGTGAAAACCAGCTATGTATAAGGTGAAAACAAAGGCTTTAAAAAACCTACTGAACTATGGTCTATCTACATTTCAGCTTGATTTTCTCACAACACATTTTTTTTTCTCACAACCAATACCCAGATTAAGAAACAGAACATGACTGTACTCCAGGAAATGCCAGTCCTTTGCCCCACCAGAATTAACTACTATCTTGATACTTAATAGCATAGATTTGCACCCCCCTCCTGTTTTAGGGGGCTTTTAATAACTTTCTGGTTTAAAAGACTTGCTCATTGGTGGAGATGGTTGTTGAATACATCTCTGAGGGCTGAGACTAGAGATTTTAGCTTGTGGCTGAGAACTAAGTGGTCTCCTAAGCAATGGGACCCAGTGGGATCCTTACACATCCCTTGGGTTTAACTCTGCTGGTTTGACTTATTTGGGAATTGGAAAAGCAAAGAGAACCAATATATAGGTGCCTGTTACATGCCAGGCACTGTGCTAGGAGCTTGATATGATTGATAATTCTCACAAGCACATCAGAAGGTAGGCAGGCAGTAGTGTTCATGTTTTATAGCCGAAGACATTGGCTCAGAGAAGTTCAGAGCACAGAGTAGCCTGGCAAACGACAGAGACTGGAAGCCAGCATGTATCCAAGCAGGCGGGCCTGGAGGCTCCAGAGTGAGCAATCTGCACTCTGCCTTGTGCAACAGTCTGCCAGCAAGGCGGCGCAGAGCTCCCCTTAAGTTTTCCTTCCCCTCCCAGGTTGTGAATTCTTTAGCATTTTCAGATGACCTTATGGTCAGTATCTTTTCCTTAAGAGGAAAGTTTTAAAAAGTCAAGGTAGCTACTAGCTACCTGCTCCTACTGCATCAGGAGGACTGAGCTGTATATGTAATCATTTCCGTTATCCTCAGAGGTTCTCATGGCAAAGGACAGTAACACATCTCTTTCACTAAAAGCAGCAAGGAAACTGGCTTAGAGATTAAACAAATTGGTCTAGCCTATGAAACAAGAGCTAAGCTTACAATTGTTAAAAAAAAATTCTGATTTAATGGTAATTTTGCAACCATATTTGCATTTTCAACTTCAGAACTACCCTCATTCAGGGAGAGAAAATTGAACCCGTAGTGGTAGCCTGTAACTCTTCTTGTCACATTAATGGAATTAGTTTTAGTTAACTGTACAAAAGTCTGAATTCTTCCTTTCTAACTATTAAATTGCAACCCCTGAGGGTTGGCCGGTTAACTCACTTGATTACAGCATGTTGCTGATAACACCAAGGTCAACGGTTCCGATCCCACTACTGGCCAGCCTCCAATAAAGTAAATAGATAGCATCTGCTACAATTTTTTTTTTCTTCTTGTACTTAAGATATTGTCACACACTTTTGGGCTAGAGAATCTGTAACTTAGTGATAGGCTCATATGACCAAAGCCATCTTTGAACTACCGTTTGCAGACAACACAGTATGGTATGGAGGTTTATGGGGTTAGAGAATCTAACTTAGTGACAGGCACACATGACCAGAGCCATCTTTGAAACTAACATTTGTAGACAATGGTATGTCTTTCTGTGCTTGGCATAATATGATGCTAATACTGAGTAATTTCATCCATTGCCGTGTTTTCAACTGCCACCTTATACTGATGATACACTTAACTCTAGCCTGAATCTCTCTCCAAGTCTCTGGCCCCATCTTTAAACAACTCCCTTCCATATCCCGAAGATACTGCAACTCAACCAGGGCCTAGATTTCCTAGTTACCATGTCACCTCAGTTCTGGCTGCCCTGGGCTATCAGAGCATTTTTATGTGTGTGCCTTTGCTTTTCTTCAGTAAATTGGAAACCTACTTCAGAGTTGTAAGAATGAAAAGGAAATAATGCTGGCAAAAACTGTTCATTCGACATACCAAGTGTCTAGTTGTGTCAATTGCTGGGGAGACTAAACTTCCTGAAGGTGTCTTTCAAGCTAAGCCTTACAAGTTGGATTTTTCTAGACGGAAAGGGGTGGAGGGTGGCTTGAGCAGAAGCCTAGATGAGGGAAAACTGCATATGGGAGAAACTTGAAACATTTGTGTCCTAAGAGCAGCAGGTAGGAGGCAGAGATGGGGCAAAAGAAGGGAGAGGCACATGCAATCAAATCACAAAAGGTCATACATTCTATCAAGGCACAGGAAGCCATTGAAAGCAGGGATCTGGAACGATCATTCCTATGGCAGTACAGTGGCTGGACTAGAATGGGACCAGAGGTTTTTAGCAACATATACAAATAGAAGAAGAAACTGAGTTTAGCCTGAAACTGGTTTTGGAGATGGTAATGTGGAAGATTTAGATCAGAGAGGGGCAGGCTTGGTCTCAAAGGACACCTCTGGGGACTCCAGAGCATGCTGAGCTAGCTGATTCTAGGGTGATACACATCAACATGGAATATAAAGCAGTTTATTTGTGGGCATTTTCGATAACCAGTACGTGCCATTGTTCTCAGCTCTATTTAGAAGGCTATTAACAAGCAAACACTGAACTAGTAAGCAAGGGGTGTGTCATAGCTCAACGCTGCTGTCACAATCACCTGCTCATTCTCTACCTATCATTGTCACCTGGAGAGTAGGGAGAAATGCCCTAATAGACCTGCAGTTGAAAAATGCTTCAAGACTGTAATGTATTAATCTTTTTTTTTTTTTTTTTTCCTTTT